TTTTCCTATCTCTTCCAGGGGTTGGGACTCAATGGTGGGTAAGCCAGTGGACCCCATTCGTACTTCCGGTCACGCATCATACTGCCTGCCATTTCCAGGCTAGCTAATTCTGTGCTCACTGGGGATTTTCCACGTGGTAGTTTATAAAACAGAAGAAAAATGGGTCTTGTTCCAGCTCTGTTTCTGAACTCCGCCCAAGACTTGTAGGATGCAAACAGCCCTTGGGAAAACAGTCTTTAAAGGTCACACCCCCTCACCCCACCCCCAGTCCTTTCTTGTTTCATAGGTTACTGGGCCAGAAAAAGCTTTGATATCCTTGTGAAGCACATCCCTAGGCCTGTCTTTTGGATATTAAAGTTCCAGTGTAGCTCTTCAAATTTCCCTTTAAAACTTCAGTATTTCCACATTCATTCTAGTTGTCCTGTCATCCTTTTAAACAATAAATAAACACAGTAGATTCAATTAAAGTGAGAAGAAATCAGGAAATGACTTCCCAAGGGACCCCACAGAGGGGAGGGACAGGAGGGGGGGCGGGGGGGCGTGACTGGAGGGGTGTTCAACTGCTGATATTACTTCCTGTGGGCCTCTGTTTAGATTCTAAGAGTTTATAAGTAATATCACAGCTCTTATCTGGAGACTGGTTAAAATATAACTCCACTGAAACAGAGATAACCTTCCAAACTACTTCAAGAGTGTGGGACAGAGACCCATGGATGGAATTTTATCTCAGTTCAAATGGGTCTAATCTCTTTGTTCCTGATTTCAGACCCTCTGGCCGATGACTTGGTGTGCCAGCATCTGTGGGAGTTCTTCTCTGGCTTTCCCAGGGTTCTCCAAAGACTGCTGTTCTGAGGAAAACTCAGGGCGGTAATGAAGTTGAGCTGTTCCTTTAAATCCCAGAGCCTGAGTTGCAGAGAGGGCAGGCAGAGCTCAGTTGGATTTATTACATTCATACAATGACATGGCTTACTCTGAGGCAGTAGGCCAAGCTGCTAAAGGGTTTTTTTTGTTTTTGTTTTTGGTAACCCAAGCAGCTTCTGCCCAGCAGAAGGCCAAAGCAGGGGAGTTAAGGGTACAGTCCCTATCATCCTCTGGGATCTGAGGACTTGTCTGAGAAGCCTCCAATCTCCAGCCTCTGAACTCTGGCAGGTACTGGATGGAGAGGTGTTTCTTTGCATGGATGTATTGGGAATGGCTGGCACATCCTCTGTGCATAAAATCAGCCACTATTATTATAATTCATTTATTTGTTCCCTCAATTATTTTTCAACAAATTATCAAAACATGTACCAAATCCTTTTTTAATCATTTAAAAAACCAAATGAAAGGGCTGGGAAGGTGGCTCAGTGGTAGAATGCTTGCTTTGCATGCATGAGGCCCTGGGGTTCGATCTCTCAGCACCACATAAGCAAAAAGAAATAAGCTGGAAGCGGCACTGTGGCTCAAGTGGTAGAGAGCTAGCCTTGAGCTGAAGAGCTGAGGGACAGCGCCCAGGCCCAGAGTTTCAGGCCCCACGACAGGACCCCCCCAAAAAAAAATGAAAGTTAGTACTGAAGACCAAATGAAATTAGAAATTTTCTATGCAGTCCTGCTTGTGAGCTTAATGAAGAGACAAAGAAAAAAATAACAAAGGAAGAAAGGAAGGAGTTGATAGCTGACTGACTGGTCAAGGGATTGATGTGTGACATGTTACTATAGGTTTGCGCTCCTGAAGAGGAAAGATGAATGAGAGGAGAGGAAATGAATGAATGAGGAGAGAGGAAAGGAGACAGCAAGGATAAGAGAGAGAAGGAAAGGGATGGAGAAGAAAAAATAGAAATAGAGAAGCCATGAGCTAATACAGCTGGAATGCAGAGGTTAGGTCTACCCAGGCAAAAAGCCAAGCATAATCAACCCTTTTCAATCAGGGAGGAGTTCGTCACATTTTAATGAATAGAGGCCTTGCTCTTTTATAATAAAAGGCAGGGATACCAAATCACAGAATACAGCCACCATGTCTTAAATCAAAGGGGAAACAGGGGCTAAGAAAGAGCCAGCCTTTAAAGACAGATTGTAAGAGAGACTGGGAAGGGAGTGGGACTGTGAGGGGGCAGGGGGAATGAGCCCTGTATTTGTTAGCATTTTCTCAGCTTCCTCTCTTTCCACACCCATCCCATCCCTAAATAATAATTCCTTACTTGGAAGGCTATATACCAAAAGAAACTGCTAGTTTCTTCTTGAATAGACATGAGTCCAAGTAATCTTTATTTCCTGGCACACTGGAAATCTTGAGAAGCATTAAAATTGAGCAGAGATCACCAGGTGCTGGTGGCTCATACCTGTAATGGTAGCTACTTAAGGAGGCTGAGATCTGAGGCTTGCAGTTCAAAGTCAGCCTGAGCAGGAAAGTTCATGAGATTCATCTCAATAAACCACCAGAAAACTGAAGGGCACTGTGGCTCAAGTGGTAGAGCACTAGCCTTGAGCTGAAGAGCTGAGGGACAGTGCCCAGACTGACAGAAAAAAAAAAGCATCTTTAACATTTAAAAGCTTTTTAAGTAATAAAAAGGGGAAAGGAAATAGGTATTCTATATGGGCATTAGACATGGAAAGCAATTAATTTGTTTTTGCCAAGAAGAGGAAAACATTATAGCTGTCAAAAATGACCCTCAGCCTGGCACTGGTGGCTCATGCTTGTAATCCTAGCTACTCAGGATACTGAGACTTAAAGATTATAGTTCAAAACCAACCTGTGCAGAAAGTGTCCATGAGACTCTTATCTCCAATTAAAACATCAAAAACACAGAAGTGGAACTATGGCTCACAAAAGCTCAGGGACAGCTCCCAGGCCCTGAGTGCAAGCCCCAAGACAGGCACACATGCGTGTATGTGAACTCACACACACACATACACACACACACACAATGACACTCAAAAACTAATTTCCAACAGCAGCTTTCTGAGATTCTTTCATAGATAAGACCTTCATAGCGTATTTGTAATTTTACTTTAATAATGTAAGCCTATAATATTTACCTGTTGTCTATACAAAAAGAATCAAAGCATTAGCCAGAATATTTGGGAAACAGTCCTTTTCTACAAGTAATGGGTACATTATAGTGATATTCCCTCCATAGCTACAAAACATGAAAGCAAAACAAAACTGGTTAAACCTACACATTTCCATTTGGTGCACTTTGGCAAGTTCTTCTGTGTTCATGAGCGTCATCCCTAAAAGAATTCAGAAACATATACCACTCTCCTGGTTCAGAAAGAAAGATTCATTTGTAAGTAAGTAGGAAAAAATGGAGAAGGAGGTACAAAAGACTGTGACAGATGTGACCCTGGCCCAGCTTCCCCTACCTGCCTGCCTAGCCCTGGAGAAGATGGGGCTGGCTGCCAAGATGCAACTGGGTAAAGCCCAAGGGAGCTTGGCTTAGCTTGGCCAGCACAGAGCAAGCAGAATCAGAAGTCAGCCAGCAAGGACAGAGAAACCTGTGACAAGGAGACCAGACTATTATAGGCAAGGATAATATTTTTAAGAATTCACTGTTCCTTGGATACTATGCCAGAATATGCCTTCTTTCTCATTGTTACAGTGGAGATTCTCGTTATTATTATAAAGTTGTGGAGGTAGCCAGGGAGATGGTAGGGACATCACCTTATAAAACCATACACAATATGCATGTGGTACTGATTGTTTTTTTTTATAAAAATAACAAACATCCAGGAGCCAATGGCTCACATCTATAATGCTAGCTACTCAGGAGGATGAGATCTGAAGATTGCAGTTCAAAGCCAGCCTGGGCAGGAAAGTCCATGACTCTTATCTCCAATTAACCACCAGAAAACCACAAGTGGCCCTGTGGCTCAACATAGTAGAACACTAGCCTTGAGAGAAAAAAGCTCAGGGACAGTACCTAGGCCCTGAATCAAGCCCCATTACTGACAAAAATAAATAAATAGGGGGCTGGGAAATGGCTCAGTGGTAGAGCGCTTGCCGTGCATGCCTGAGGCCCTGGGTTCGATTTCCTAGCACCACATAAGCAAAAAGAAATAAGCTGGAAGTGGCGCTATGGCTCAAGTGGTAGAGCGTTAGCCTTGAGCTGAAGAGCTGAGGGACAGTGCCCAGGCCCAGAGTTCAGGCCCCATGACCGCCCCCCCCCAAAAAAAGAAAGAAAAGTAAATAAATAAATAACTATATAACATCAGAAAGAAAAACTAAGTAAAATGTTCTTTGTGGGAAGTGACTCATCTAAGATAATCTAGAAAGATATAATGAGAGTGTACCTTAAATCCACCATGAAACACTGCTTTGCCCGACTCTGGTGAGGTTGGCATTATTATGTAGATATCGTATGGGAAAGGCAAAGCCTGGTAGATGACACTGGAAAATTCCAGCAAGCACCAATCCCTGGTCTGTGCCTAACATCTGAGCTCTTGCTCTGTCACTGGTCCCTTCTCCTTGTGCAGAGTATCTGGAAGGAGAATTCCATGATCCATAGTTAGCTACAGCTCCCTGTACTTATCTTTTTATCCCTTCATTGGATGTGTGTGTGTGTGTGTGTGTGTGTGTGTGTGTGTGTGTGTGTGTGTGGTACTGATGACTTGAACTCAAGGCCTTATACTCTCATTGGGATTTTTTGCTCAAGGCTAGCACTCTATCACTTGAACTACACCTCTACTTCTGGCTTATGTGTGGCTAATTGAAAATAAAGAATCTCATGGACTTTCTGCACAAGATAGCTTTGAACTGTGATTCTCGGATCTCAACCTCCTGAGGAGCTAGGATTACAGTTGTGAGCCACCAATGCCCTGGCTCAATCACTACTTAATATTGGTTACCCTCTACAAGTTAATGTGTCCATTAAGTGAAATACAAGGATAGCCTCAGCATGGTCCTTGACATCAATAAGTGCAACAGGAGAGCCTTGTATGGACCAGACATCAAGTTCAAGTTCATGACAATGGGAGTCTCCCAAGCAATTCACTTTCTCACTTTGGGGTCCTATCTGTTTCAGGGTATGAACTATCTAGAAGACCGGCGCTTGGTACATCGTGACCTGGCAGCCAGGAATGTCCTGGTAAAGACACCACAGCATGTCAAGATCACAGATTTTGGGCTGGCCAAACTGCTTGGTGCTGATGAGAAAGAATACCATGCAGAAGGAGGCAAAGTAAGGCACTGACTACAGTTCAGGGACCAACCGTTTTCCTGACAAGAGACCAGATTCTGTACTTCTTTGCTGTAGTTCCTAACTGATACAGGGGGCATTTACCAAACATTCAGGGTATAGTTACAACAGCTGCCGCCACTGCCAGGGTCTAACCAGAGTAATCTTCAGCTTTGGGACTGGGATTTGCTATGTGTGTGAGTATAGAGATGCCTTTTTGTTTGTTTGTTTTTGTTTTGTGCTTGATCTCAAGGCCTGAGCACTTCCTCTTAGCTTTTTCACTCAAGGCTGGTACTCTACCACTTGAGCCATGGCTTCCATTTCCAGCTTTTGGTTGGTTAATTGCAAATAAAAATCTTGTAGACTTTTCTGGTTAGGCTGGCTTCAAACCTTGAGCCTCTGCTCTCAGCTTCCTGAGTAACCAGAATTACAGGCATGAGCTATTTCTCTGCTGGGAAATACATTCAAAAGCCAAATATTGTCAATTTCATCTACAGGTTGTAGCTAGCAGAAGTTAGGTCTCAACCTTCCCCTCTGGGATTTAAGCACCCTTCGGAAAAACACCTGGAGAATGTTATGGTTGATTTGATGACACAGTGTTCAGATATACTAAACACTCCCTATGATGTTATGATAATTCTCTGGGGTCTCTGTGTCTCCTCTGGCAGTGAGGGGAACTTCTCACTCTCTGGCTTAGAGCTTCCCAGCACACCCATAAGGCAGTGACAGGTGCATGGCCCAGTTAGGCTTTCAGTATGCCTTCTGCTGCACCTCAGTTTCACACTGGCCTGTTTGGTTCCAAGCAGCCATCAACCCTATGACTTTAATCCCTGAAAACACACTCAAATACTGGGATGCTGAAGCCACTGAATGGAAAGGGCTTTCAGCTTACCAGACAACTACCTGGTCCAAAAGACCCAGTTCAGGTGTTCATAAAGCAGATTCTGGGGCCTCCCAGTACAAGCTTGCTCTCTGGTAGATTTCTAATCCCTTGCAAGTAGGAACGACCCCTCAGCCTGAAGCCAGGGCAGGAAGGATCACAGTCATTTGTAATTGTCCTTAGAGGGATTTAATTATTTTGAACAGGAGGAAGCTAAATAGTTGTCATTGCTTTTTCTCTCCCTATCCCAAGGTGCCTATCAAGTGGATGGCTTTGGAATCAATTTTACACCGGATTTATACCCACCAAAGTGATGTCTGGAGCTACGGTGAGTTTAAATCTTGATGTTAATGAATTTGTACTGAAGCTAAGCAAGCATTTATTATTGGTTAATTTACATTACATGCTTTGACAAGCAAGTCTTTTCTTTCAAGACAATGGCTAACAATAATGTAATATTTGCTGCCTGTCTACTATACTGAGAAAATCCAGTATAGGAAATTGAGCCTGACTACCATACTAAATATTACTAAAGAAATTTTTCAACTTGGTGTGGCAGAAAGAGGTTATGGGAAGAAGGTTGAACTGGAATTTGGGACATGTCTCTGCCTGTGAAATCAAACCAAGCATGAATTCTTGCTATGACTTTGAAGTGAACACAAGAGAGATAACAAAGATGGCTTCATAGAACAATTTCCCAGTAGGTTTTCTGGTGAAGTGACTCCATGGCTAATATTTCCTGTAATGCATGGTGGCCTCTGTATATTAGAGAAGTGGCTAGACTCAGAGTGACAGTGAGGATGGCTGTAGGAAGAAAATATAATAAGGTAAATAGCAGGGTGCCGGTGGCTCACATCTGTAATCCTAGCTGCTCAGGAGGCTGAGATCTAAGGATTGCAGTTCAAAGCCAACCCAAGCAGGAAAGTTTGTGAGACTCTTATCTCCAATTAATCATTAGAAAACCAGAAGTGGCGCTGTGGCTCAATGTGGTAGAGTGCTAGCTTTGAGTAAAAATGCTCAGGGATAGAGCTCAGACCCTGATTCAAGCCCCACAATCAAAATTATTATTATTATTAATAATAATAATAGAAATAGTTACTGCCTCTTGCTCTAAGAAGGACTATCATATCAGGAGATGACTGTTTTCCCCTCTGAATCTCAATGCAACCAGACCCAGGGTAGTCTCATCCTCACAAAATGTCCCCTATTCCTAAACCTGCATCTCATGTCCATGTTCTTTCCCTGTTAAGAAATGTTCACTGTTACATGTCCTTTTCTGCTGTGCTGGGCAGTCAGCCTATATGGCCATACTTCATCCTCAAGTTTCAACCAGAAAAGTTGGAAAATATTTACGATTATCCTCAGCCAGCTCCTACAATAGGAGTGATAGAAAGCGGAAGAAGAGCACCTAACCTCCCTGGGAAATTTGAATTTGAGGAGAGCAAAATTGACAAAAAGAAAAATTATTCAGATCATCCATTTGTCTCAAGAATATACATATTATATGCATTTCATGGGTCTTTATTTTTTTTGGATGGATGTATACCTAAAAGCTGAGCATCCTCAATTAATGACACAGAGTGAAATAAACATATTCTTCCATATTACTTCCAGTCATTTTCAACATGTGTCAGTTCTCCAAGAGCTGGGGCTCCTGGGTACTGCAAGTAGTCAGGAAAGTGTGGCCCCTGGCTTTCCCTGTGGACAGAATGACAATACCACTGGTCTTTGTCCTTTCCCATTCTTCACCCATCTTTTCCTCTCCTAAAGTATACTGAGCTTTCACTTCACTGCTTTGCACCTTTCTTTGCTTTTCTAATAGCTTTCAAATAAAATCTGCTCTTCTAACCATGGCTAACAAGATTATTAACCATCTGGCCTGCCACCTTTCCAATAATACCACGTGATCCTGGCCCTCATTCTCCAGACTCTGACCAGCCAGAATATACCAACCCACACTTCACATCTTAAAACAGACATGGTTACTCTACTCTTTAGCTTCTGAACAAGGCAAAATATTCATTTTAATAAATTTTGGTCATAGTATGTTTCAATCAGGATTTGAGGAAAGAGAAAGAGTTCATACCATTTCTAGCCCCTTCATATTCCATCACACATTACAGGTGCTCACCATTCTGCCATCCCCAAAGAACTCAGTGTGCATGTATAGAAGTGTAAGCTGGGTGCTAGTGGCTTACACCTGTACTCCTAGCTACTCAGGAAGCTGAGATCTGAGGACTACAATTCAAACACAGCCCCACCAGGAAAATGGGAGACGCTTATCTCCCATTCACCACCAGAAAATTGGAAGTGGTGCTGTGCCTCAAAGTGGTAGAGTGTTAGCCTTGAGCAAAAGAGCTCAGGGACAGTGCCTAGGCCCAGAATTCAAGCCCCACAACCAAGAAGGAGGAGGGGTGTAGAGGGAAGGGGGAGAAAAGAAGGAGGAGGAGGAGGAGAAGAAGAAGAAGAAGAAGAAGAAGAAGAAGAAGAAGAAGAGAAGGAGGAGAGGAGGAGGAAGAGGAAGTCATCAAAGTTAATAGGAGTAGAATTTATCCATTTGGAAATTAGAAATTCTTCCTCTAAGTCCTTATGTGGGGGAAGAAATATGAATAAATTTTCTCATCCCTGGATCATTACTTTCCTCACTTTTCATTCTTAGTATATTGATTGAGGAACGTCATTGTTGGAATGGCCTCCAGAAACTCCAAGCAGGTCTGGGGTACAATATGAGTATTCTCTATTCAAAATGCTCAGGACCCAAAGTGTTCTAGATTTGACAGTTTTTCAAATTAGTGAATATTTGCAGAATTTGTAAGTTACTCATCCCTCACCTGAAAGTACAAAATCTTTAATACTTCAAACTCTAAAAATTTGAAGAGGAAGTGGCACTGTGGCTCAAGCCGTAGAGCGCTCACCTTGAGCTGAAGAGCACAAGGACAGTGCCCAAGCCCAGAGTTCAAGCCCCACGACCAACCAAAAAAAAACAACAACAAAAAACAAAAATAAAAATTTGAAGACAGGAGGAGCTATGAAAGACACAAGCTCCCTAGAGCATTTGTACATTTGCAAAACAGACAATCTCATTGAAGGAGGCACGGGGAAGGAAAGGCCCTCAGAACACAAGGCTTCTCTGGAAAAATAACACATAAGAAAGAGAACACTCACTCCAAAATTATCACTACTTTCATTTTTTTATTCACAATAGCTGTTTGACTTCTGTCAAACTTCATATTTATGAGGTCTATATGTTTATCACAAAGTACATAGGCTTCTTTATTCATCTCTTTATCATTTTAAAATATTCAGTTTAACAGGAATCAATGGCTCATGTCTATAATGCTACCTATTCAGGAGGTTGAGATCTGAGGATCATGGTTCAAAATAAAACTTATTTCTTAGTTCATAATCTGCATCTTTCCACTGCTACAGACAAGGTATTTAGGGCAGATGTGTGAGTATGAAGCTGTGTTCCATGATGCACCTGAACTTTTTCAGTTCGAGTTTTCATTATTCTCTCATTGGCTTACCATTTACTGGTTAGTTACTATTTTCTAAGCATTGTGCTAAACATTTCAGTTGTATTACTTACTCAGTCCTCACCGTCATTCTGTAAGACAAGTGAAAGGTGAAGTCAATCCAAAGTGAAAATTCAAGTTAAATTATCCAAAGCTATAGAAACAGATTTTCAAACACTGAGCCACAATAATAGCAAGGATTAAATACTGTCTTTGTTTGCTGCTTTGTCTGCTCAGGAGTCACAGTTTGGGAGCTGATGACCTTTGGATCCAAGCCTTATGATGGAATTCCTGCAAGTGAAATCTCATCCATCCTGGAGAAAGGAGAGCGCCTTCCACAGCCACCCATCTGCACTATTGATGTCTACATGATCATGGTCAAGTGTGAGTAACCATGTAGCTGGACCTTGACACACACAGAATGCTGTATTGAGACTGCAAAGGCATTGCTGCTCTTAGCCAAACAGCCAAGGCCTCTGTTCCCTGAAGAAATGTCATCACATTCTTTACACATTCACAAATACCCATTGCAAGCATTATTCAGAAAGCACTTGCTTGACTCATTGAGCAGTGTGACCTGACATTTGCCTATGTTTACAAGCAAATAAATAAAATTGAAGTCTTCTGTAAACTATTACACCAACATACTCCATTCTCTAGAGTTGCTCAATGAAATAGAATGGCCTTGCAGTTGGAAGCCTGATACCAGAAACTGAATGTTTTTAAATATCTAACAATGAGTAACCTTAGAAGGCTGATAGAATCAACATTTCTGTTTTGGGTTAAACCTTTCAAACAGCAGATTCACAGTAAGCTTCCTGTAGTGTAGCTTTAAATGTTCTAATAGAAATAAGAGGGTATAATTTGTCTGATACCGTTCTTTCCATTGGAATTATAAGTGCACTGTGCTCTTCAGGCAACATTATAATGTGTAATAAGCATTTGTACCAGAAGGCAGCAGGGACTATAACAGATCCAAGCTCATGTAAATATCCATTCCTTTCTGAACTTTAGAACATAGGGTTTATCTATTTTCACTGCCTTGGTTTGGACTGAAAAGGCCGCGTCCAAAGAGGTCACATGATTTGTCACAGGTCACATAGCAGTCTGGCCTGAAATAGCTTGACATCCTGCTAATGGAAAATAAATGTGAACCCTTAAGAGACCCAAGGGTTTCCAGTCGACAGCTTCCCTCCAGGTTGCTGACTCTAGATTTAGATCACTGTGAAATCAAAAGCAACAGCATGATTGCCAAAAGTATCCGCCTAAGGAAGGCACTAGCACTGCAAGGTCTTGGGTTTCAGTTTCACCCCCGGCACTGTGCGAGATAAGTAAATAAATAAATAGGAAGGCACGGAGACAGCCAGCTCTGTCACTGTCTGAAGGATGACTGAGTATAAAGCGCCATAAAGGAACGAGACTGGAGACATTGCCAAGTCCAGGTTCCTTATAACCTTGATGCCTTTCGAATTTGAATCTGGTTTCAAGCTTGAGTAGAAACCAGGGTGCTGAGGATGAATGTGGAATGGAGTCGTGAAGAGCCTGGACACAAAGAAGCAAGTACATCATTATACGACTATGTCATTAAAGCTGGTAACTCAAGATTGCTGATCCTATGCAGAGGTGGGAAAATCAGAGGATTTGTCATTCTGATTCAAAAATACTGTGTTATCATGGTCTTCTTAAACAGTGATCAGTGCTAGTGGAACAGCACCAAAAACTCTATCATGAAAATTAGATTTCTTCATTCATCACTTACCGTTTGTCGAGCAGAATTTCATCTGAAGTGCTTTCTCTAAGCAGCATTGTCTTGACCATGTCTCCCAGGATCCTAATTGCTTTGTTTTTCTTCACTTCCTTTCTCAGGCTGGATGATAGATGCAGACAGCCGCCCTAAGTTCCGTGAGCTGATTGTCGAATTCTCCAAAATGGCCAGAGACCCTCAGCGCTACCTTGTCATTCAGGTATCAGGCTAGAGTATGCACATCCATTGGCAAAATCTCTCCAGTGAGCATCACTGGGCCCTGTCCTGTGCCAATATGGCTTCTTCCTTCCAGGGCACGTTACTACATTCTGTGCATTACAGCAGCCTCAGCTAAGACACTGCTCTGCTTAAGAATTAAGTGGGATTCAATAATGGATACCACCACATCACCCAACTCTTTGGGGTTTTTTGTTTGTTTTTAATATATATATATATGCATATGTTTTTATTGTAAAGATACTGTACAGAGGGGTTAGTTACATTAGTAAGGTAAGGAGTATATTTCCTATCAAGCATTGTTACCCCCTCCTTTGTTTTTCCCCTACCATCCCTGCCCTTCCCACCTCCCCAGCTCCTCACTCCCTACTCCCCAAGTTGTAAAGTTCATTTCCAACATAGTGTCTTGTACATCCCATTGTTACAATGGATCAACTCTTTATAACCATTCTATCTAAACTGTCCTACTCAGACACAGCCTCCCCTTCCCACTCCTGTGTCATCTCACAGCGCCTAGCATGGTCATATAGAGAAGCAGGACATCCTTGAGTGTCTTACCCCATGTCTCCTTGTGCAATCCTGCCCAGCAATCTCCTTACCTAACTTATAAGTGAACTGGAAAAAGCAAGTTGCAGTAAAATAATCTATGGGGAGCTTTGCCTAGCACTTGCATGCACAGCAAATGCTTTTACTTCTTCCTTTTCTCACTCTTCCCTGAGATGTTTACATTTTCTTTGGAGGCTTTCAGACAATCCAAAGAGCTTTTCATGTTTTATTCCAAGGTACCCATAGGTACTGGGAGAAGTAGCTACACTTCAGAGAACTACAGGGTTTGAATTATATGCAACCTCAAACATAAAAGCAAACACATAGATACCTTCTTTTTTTTATTTTTTGCAAGGAGGGGGGAGTGCTGTCCCAGGGCTTGAACTCAGAGCCTGGGCACTATCACTAAGGTTTTTTTCTTTTGTTTTCTTTTCTTCTTGTTGGTCAAGGGCCTTGAACCAGGGCCCTGAGTGCTGTCCCTGCATTCTTTTTGCTCAAGGCTAGTGCTCTACCACTTTGAGCCACAGCACCACTTCTGGTTTTCTAATGGTTAGTTGGACACAAGAACTTCATAGACTTTTCTGCCCAGGCTGTCTTTGAACCACAATCCTCATATCACAGCCTTCTGAGTAGCTAGGTTTACAGGTGTGAGCCACTGGTGCCCAGCTAGGCACCTTCTTACAATAGATCCTTAATTCAATATTCAGGTGGCATATGCCAATAGCAACTAAAGTCAACCTCTACCCCACAGTAACTGAAGGTAAATATATAGGCACCTTCTTACAATCGATCCTGTACCCCAGTAGTTAGGAATAGGACAGGATACCCATGGCCTTTTCTAATGGTCTCAAAATCTCTGCACCAGGGGGATGAAAGAATGCACCTGCCAAGCCCTACAGACTCCAATTTTTATCGTGCCTTGATGGATGAAGAGGACATGGAAGATGTTGTTGATGCCGATGAGTACCTCATCCCCCAGCAGGGCTTCTTCAATAGCCCATCTACATCTCGAACTCCTCTTCTAAGTTCTCTGGTACGAAATGCCTCTCTCCTCCTCCTCTTTCCTCTCTCTCTCTCTCTCCCTCCCCTCCTCCCCCTGCCCAGCTGTGTCTGCCCACTTGAACACATTGAGTTGTAGAGAAAATGGCACCCATCTAATAGCTCTCATATAGACACAAGGAAGTAAATATTAATCAAATGGTAAAGTCAAAATCAGAACCAACAAAATTAAGTGTTGTAATATTTTATTGCAATAACTTGGTTGTAATCTGGCCAGCTTTAACCAGCCCTGTTTTTTCTAATGATTCAAGACAAAAAAAAAGAAGCATCTTGAAATATTTCCATTCCTTGAGATGCCACCTCTGTCATTCTATGTGAATGGGTGAGAATGTACATGTGTACCATGATGCTTCTGTCTCTTTTTCAGAGTGCAACCAGCAATAACTCCACTGTTGCTTGCATTAATAGAAATGGGGTATGTATGAATACTTAACAAACCAGATTAAATTAACAGCTCAGTATCATGTCTTTATAATTCATGGAAAATACCTATTTTAACCCCAAGAGGATTGACTTTTCTTCCTACATATTCTTTCCCCCAACATAACTTCCTTGACCTATATCTTAAGGCCAGCCACTCACTATCACATATCACAATATTATTCCAAATAATAACACATGTGGCTACATCAGTTTTAAATAAGGAAACTAAAATACAAACAATAAAATACAAAATTCAGTTCCTCACACAATGTGAAATGTTTGGTAACCACATGCGGCATGTGGCTACTGTATTGAAGAAATCAGGTGACAAAACATTTCATCTCTGCAGGACCGTCCATAACTAACCAGAGCATTGTTTGCTCTGATAACTGTAGCTCAGTGGCTTGGATGTTACCTGGGGGCTTGTCAGAAATCTACATTCCCAGGCCCAGAAATCACTGAATCTGTGTTTTGTTTGTGGAAATAGTTTCATAGTATAGTCCAGACTAGCTGATCCCACTTGACTTAGCCATTCACTGCTGAATTACAGGAGGATAAGGCCTCACCCAGCATAAATCTGCATATTAATGAGATTAGAGGCAATAGTTGTCTGCAGTGAGTATCACTGATTAGAATCACGCTACCTAATTTCCTCCCCAGCAGAGCTGTGCTGTCAAGGAAGACAGCTTCTTGCAGCGGTACAGCTCAGACCCCACTGGTGCCTTGACAGAGGACAACATAGATGACATTTTCCTCCCTGCACCTGGTGAGTAGATTTCTCAGGACATAGTCATAGACCTAAGCTTCCCTGCCCCATCCAGCAGGTTCTGATCTTCTTTCCCTGGGGCCCAAGCTAGTTGTTTCCTGCCAGCTGGTCTAGAGGTAGAGACTACAGCAAACTTTTAGACATGAGTAAGTAATGAGTGAGTACAGAATGGCTAAATATATACATGGTTTTTGTGTTCAGTTCAAATTACAACTGGGTTTGCTTAAGAAATGGATCTATAAGTTTTCTGGAGTTATATATGCATGCGTGGTGTCTATACAGATACGTGTGACACATACACACTTACATATAACCTTTTAATTTACAAAAGGTGGAATGTATGAATGTTCAAGAAGTACAGAAAATAACTGGGCTGAGTGTAGTGGTATATTCCTATAATCACATCTACTTAGAAGGCAGAGATAGGAGGATCAGGCAAAACATCCTATAAAAATCAATTTGGGTGTGGTGATATACACCTATAATCCCAACTTCTTGGGAGGTAGAGGTTAGAGGATCTCTATCTGAGACTAGCTAAGGCAAAAGCGTAACATCTTACATGAAAAACAAAGTATGGTTAAAAAAAAAAGGGCTGGGACATGGCTCAAGTAGTAAAGCACTTGTCCAGCAAAGGCAAAGCCCTAAGTGTAAACCCCAGTACTGACAAAATAAAAAGAAAGGAAGAAGAGAAGGGAAGAAAGGAAGGGAGAAGGAGGGGAGGAAAAGGGGAGGGGAGGAGGACGGGAGATGGGAGGGGAGGAGGGAGGGGATTTATTTTTGGCAATTCCTTGGGCTTCTTTGCCTTTGTCCTGAGTTGCCTCAATGAAGGTATTCACAGGGTTGGCAGGAGCCATGGAATCCTGCCATGGGATTGCTGGGTAACGCTTTCCTTATTACTTCACCTGTTCTTGCTTTTCAATTTCAGAATACATAAACCAATCCGTTCCCAGAAGGCCAGCAGGCTCAGTACAGAACCCTGTCTATCACAACCAACCCCTGCATCCAGCTACCAGCAGGGACCCACACTACCAAAATCCCCATAGCAATGCTGTGGGCAACCCTGAGTATCTCAACACGGCTCAGCCTACCTGTGGTAACAGCATGTTTGACAACCCTGCCCACTGGGCCCAGAAGGGCAACCACCAAATTAGCCTGGACAACCCTGACTACCAGCAGGACTTCTTTCCTAAGGACTCCAAGCCAAATGGCATCTTTAAGGGCCCTACAGCTGAAAATGCAGAGTACCTACGGGTAGCACCACCCAGCAGTGAGTTTATTGGAGCATGACCATGGAGGGTAGTAGCATCAGCCATAAAACTTCCAGACTCTTCAGAGACCCAGGGCCAAGTCATGGCAGCTATTCTACTCTTAAAAGACATGCCTGTGTTAACTCATACCCATGAACTGGTTTTACCATATTAACTTTGATCAACCTTTCTTTTAGCCCAGAAGTACTCCTTTCCTCTGGGACATTGCAGGTACATTCCTTGGTCTTCAAACTGTGAAGCTCCCACAAAAGAAAGCATCTGGAAAGATGTCCATTTGAGCAGAGGTTATGGTGAGACTATATATATATATATATATATATATATATATATATATATGTCTGCATATATAGATATATATATGTACTGCTTGGAAATAGTTGGGATGTTTAATTGCCATTGTGGACATTGGTTTACTGGGTTCTTCCAAGGCAGAAGAAGCTTGCCTGAAATACTTGCTACACCAAATTATTCCAGGCCCAGTTATAACCAAGGAACATGGACTCCAACTCTTCCAGCCAGCACTTGAATCCACCAGCACTGTTTCAAGATTCTTCCATTGAAAGACAAGCAAAATGTACAAGAAGTCCTGTATGTTCTAAGCAGGCCTCATTGGTACTATATTAAATCATGGCAGGTACTATATATAGGATAAGCCACTTTGTCCCTTCCTGGGCAAAGAAGAAATGAAAGAATTCTCTTTCAGACTGTTTTTTGTATAAATGTGTCCATGGTACTTATTTCCTATTAGTTCACCAGTGTTTTCTAATAATTACTGTTAGACTTACTTGTTTCTTTTCCATTCCATTGTCTTGAAGTTTAATATGCTTTCCCTGTGTTGAGGTCATGAAGAAGATAGTAGATCAAGAATAACTAACAGGCTATGTTTTAGCTCCTCAGTGTTCAGACCAGTTGCCCTTAACTAAGACATTCACAGAAGAACCTGGTTCCAAATTTTAGCCTTGGCTAAACTGTGTCAAGTCCTTTAGGGGCATATATCATGAGACCCACAGAATAAGACTGTTCTTAATTCTTATTTTTCCCATCTATACTCCAAAATTAGTTTGGACCACTCATGGAATTAATCTCCCTTTAGGAGATTTTGACTTGTAAGGGCATGTGTTTCTCCCTGGTAAGCTACCCCAAAACCTCTCTGTGCGAGCATGCAATAATTTACAGCTCATAGTAGGGCTTTTCTCTGGGTGCCAAGATAAGATAACATTAAGTACAGAAAGGAACTCAACTGGCAAAAAGGCAAATAGAATTTGAGGTTGATATATAATGTTTTCATAACCTCCACAGATATTTCAGGGAAGGTTTTATCATAACGCAACTTCTCTCTCACTGGAGGATCTAGCTAGTTGCTCATCTTTGTAATCCATTGGTTAAATATTCTTAGTCTATATACATTCTTTCCAGTGTATCAAGGAATAAATCCCTGATTCTGAGATTCTCCCTGGGTAGACAAGGGAGATCTCCAAGGTGGTAACATTGCCATTAGACCTTTAAATAAGTAGCAAGGACTTAGCAACAGAGAAATGGAAAGTATGTTCCTAGCCAAAGAAGCCATGATGAGGAAAGAACTGCCGGAGAAATCCATTCATATCAGTCATTCTAACATTGTTCCTTTTGGCCTGGGAACTAGGCTTGTAGCATCCTCCAACTCCCTAAATGTTACCTCCCTCCTGGGAATTTTGGTCTCTCATCTATTTAAAAAAAATGATTAGTGAGAAGATTAAACAGTATTTTTAGAATCTGAGGTTTCCTGGCCTTGTCAGCAAACCATTTCCATTATCTATTCCCCTTAGAACGTAAAAGAAAAATTGTAGCCATATGTGTCTTCAAAACTAGTAAACGGAATGAGTAACATTCTAGGGAGAGTAGATATAAGTCAAATTATAGCAACAAAATTCTAGTATTTTTGTACTTTGAAGGGCTGTCTCCTACCTAGCATTATAAAACAGCAAATTTTATTCAAGCTTGCTTTTCTTTTCTTGTGTATTCCCATTCTCCTGCACAAAATTTATTTGTTATTAATCTTAACATTGAGTTTCCCAAAATGTTCTCCTATCTGTGCAGGGAGAAGGGGGTCTGTGGGAGCTGCAAGGCCTCAGTCTCTCTTTAGGGACCACAGTGGCTAAAGTGGGTAGGACAAGAGAGGAGCAGCACAGGGTCCAAAATGTCCATATTATAGCCCTGACTAGTCCAGTTTCAAAGCCTGTACAATGTCCTCTCCATGTTTCTTCATCGATAACCAGTCCTTCACACTTTCTAGACCATCTGTTGGCTAGTTCTTCCTCAGTCAGTTCCTGAAAAACCACTCTTCATGGGCCCCACTTCTGATCTGGGCTTTGGAAATAGTTCAAGGTAAAGTAAGTCATTTCTAGGGAGCCAAACTCCATACTGTGTTCTCTTATATCATCCGTAAGGAGTCCTTATCAATCATTGTACTCTGGGAAAAAATTGCTTATCACCTCATGATAGAAAAAGATGAAATCATTAAACTCTACACATTTGCCATGAGTTCAGGTTGCCACTGTTTTTCTAAGTAAGAACCCTGTGGAGGTACCATGTGGTATTACAGCCGATGATCATAAAAGTTTAGGTATCTGCTCAGAGTTTTTAATTTCATGTTTTAGGATCCTACTTTTACCCTCAAACTACAGACATAAAAGAGACATAGTTAACATAGGCACACAAGGAATTTATTCTCAGGCAGGACTGCCTATGGGAATATCCTGTGGGGAAGAATCCAAAGTATTCTAATTTGAGTTTCTGTAAAGCCCAGGACTTTTATAAGCACCGATTCTGTGGTGAAGCTAAAGTTCAAGAATTTTCACAGGTGTAAAGGAAAGACCTGAAAAGGGAGAGCCTTCGTACTTGCTTGGGGCTCTCTACTGAGGGATACTCTTGTCAAGCCTCTCCATTACATATGTGTAGGGTAATAATGACTTGTCAATTCTCACTCTCATTATAAACTAGAATTACCTGTGGGGCATCAGCAATTCCTGCAGACCAATCAGAGTTTCCACTGTTTGATTCTAATAGACAATCTGGGTTGAAACCCTCAGCTCCAAGGTCTCCCTAGAGATCTTTTACAAGCCTGTGGTATATCTAAACCATGCCTGGGTAGAGATTCCTCTATGCCATGAAAAGAACAATTTTCAGTGGCTGGTATACCTGAGACTTGGCCACTAGGAGTTTTCCTGAATTCTCAAAAACACCAGTTTATCCTGAAGATGGCAAATAACAGACCTAAGTCTTAGTAAAAATCCTGGTACACTCTGCATTTTCTAAGAAGTTGGAAAACAATCTCTTCCTCTCCCATTTTCCCCCTTGGAATGAGCTATTCCCTCTTAAGACGCAGCTGTTGAAATTGCCAGTAATCTCTACCTTGTATTTCTTTTGATAAGCACTCATTTTTATTGTAACATAATGATCTGTTGTATTTCCTTGCCTGGGGGGAGGGGTGCTATAAAACCTTAACTGAACTGAAATCCCTGCCTCTTTTCCCAGCCACACCTGCCATATTAGAGACAAACATCTTTGTACTATTAAAGACACATTCAGAGAGGATTTTTTTCAATGTAAATCTATTTTTGTAACTTTTTTTCTTGCAGGATATATGTCCTCTTTATGTAGCACTGAACTTTGTAAAGTATATTTTTAGGAAATTCGTTTTTCTACTAAAAGAAACCATTTAGAAAGACTGCAATAGAATCAAACTTGGAAATTGACATCTTTGTTTCTAAGGATTAAATTGAAGCAAGGGAATTGCCTTCTCCCTTATGGAAGGTACAGCTTTCTTAGAAAGCTAAGCTAGGTCACTGCCACAGAAAATAGCAGAATCGCCATTTTGCTATTGATAGAAAGTAGACAGGAGCACATTAGTTTAATACCAGTATGAGTCAGGCTCTACTGAGTCTGTTTGGGACAATGTCAGTGGAAACAGATCACTGCAGAACTCACTTCTAGAAGAATCCAAAGGCATGTCAAACTCTGGTCACTTGCCAACATGACCCTTTAAATGTAAGAAAAGCAATAATATAGTACATTGTCGGTTTATATATACTAATCTGACATTAATACAAATTATTTTTATATATATATTTACAATTAATATCAATTTACCAATATAGACTAGAAGTGTCTGGAAAGCCATAATAATGTTTACCGTATTTGAGTTATTCACTGTTTGTGAAATCCTCCATCAGTCTTACCAAGTATGAGTATAATTAGGCTAAAGAAGAGTTATTTCAATCTTGACTGAATCATAAAATTGCCTACAGCAGTTTTAGAAACTCTTGAATCACAGTTATGCCAGAAACTGTGTATTTCTTTGTAGGCGTGAAGTCTTGACATTTGTACTTTTTAATGATCCTAACTAAGTTCCTTCCAATACTCAGTGAAGGTTGAAAACCCCCAGATCAGGGATTACCCTGGGGACTTGAACTTGCAGTCAATTCTACAGATGTGAAAACTCCAAACTGCAAAGGAAGTATAAAGCATACCTCCTGCATTTCCTGGGCTCTAAAAATGAATTGGTAAAATGAAGGGATTGAATATTCCTGCTACAGACATACTGGCCCATGTTGATGTTCTTTAACCCAGAAGGAAAAACTGACCTATCAGTTATATTACAAAGGGCAGACTTCAAGAAAATTGGATGGACTTTTATGGAAACAAGAATCTGAAGATTCTTACATTAAGAAACATTTTTATGCTTCTTTCATAAAGTATACTTGGGATGAAAACTGAAACAATTAGTTGTGGGGGGCTTCTTCTTCCATGTACATCTGTAAAACCATAGTATGTCCTATGTGGTCTAAGTCTGATTGGCTTATTATCAGCAGAAATATTAGTAGAACTTCAATCCCTTCCACCTGAGGAGAAAACAAGTATATACATTTAAGATGGGTTTTTTCCCTTTTTTTTTTTTTGAAAAACCTACTGACCTAATTTGGCTACAGTATAATCTTGCAGTATGGTGTGATTGCTTGGAAATTAGCACGTCCCTTGGATCTAATGACTGGTATTAAAGAACAATGATGTAACTGATTAACATCAGATAGTAATAACTTTATGTTAGTAACTTCAAACAATAGCTTTACAGCTTCTATATGTGGTACGTTTTAACCTGTAACATTTTGCAATGATAAAAACAGTATTTGTACAAATGGAAAGCAAGATTCTCTTTTATATGGTTTCTATTGTTGATCAGAACATGTTGATTGTATATTGAGTATTAAAAAATTACATGTATATTATCATTGTTCTTTCCTTAGTTCCTTATAATAATATTGAACTCTTTGTTAACAATGCAGTGTTCATTTTAGTGATTATTCATATCTCACTGACTATGTATCTTCTTTCTTAATAACTTTTTCTTATCTACTTATTTACTAGTGGTATTGAGGTTTGAACTTGAGGTCTGATACTACACAATTGCTTTATCACTTGAGCTACCTCAGAAGCCTTTTTGATTTTTGTTTTTTCAGATAGAGTGTGAGCTTTTGCAAGGGACCACTTTGGACTGTGATCCTCTGGTCTCCACCTCCTAATTAACTGGGCATGCAGGCATGGACCACCACACCTGCTCTACTTTTTCTTGTTTTTCTTATTTGTTTGTTTTACAGTTTTGTGGGTCAGACTTAGGATTTCTCACATGCCAGGCAAAAGTTCTTCTACCGCTGAAACATATACACCCAACCTTTTTTCCCCACATTTTTATTAGCATCAATTCTCCATATAAGGGCCTTGGATTTTGACAGCGGATCTGTATACACAATATACCGTGATCAGACTCACCCACTCAAATCAGTCGTCTTCATCCTTCCTTCCCTTCCCAAGCCTATCTATCCAAGCTTCATTGTTCCATTTTCACAAATGCACATAAAATATTTTGACCCTATTCACCCTCTTTCACTTTCTCTGTCTGCCCTCCTTGTAACCACTAATAGCCACATCTTAGGATCTGCATCACCTTTCTGACATTCATTTTTCTCACTATATATTAATTGTTCAAAGGAATTTTACTGTGTAATTTCACAGAGGACAATACAGTACTTTAAACGTATTTACTCACTGGCTTACACTCACTTTCCCCACACCTCTGCCCCCTACTATTCAATAGAACTCAGTGTTTTATCATTTAAGTTTTGCTTTTGCTTTTGAGTATTTGTTTTTTGGTGGTGGGGAGAGGGGTTATGCTTAGGATTTTCTAGGATAAAGTTCTACCACTGAAACCTAACCCTTATCTTTTAAAATAAATAAACAATAAACTTTATTTTTATATCATGTTGAGGGTCACAACAAACCGGAGCAGAAAGTACAAGTAGCTCCCCTATACTTCCTACACCACATAGCCAGCCTCTCCAGTCATCGTACACCCTCTTCACTGTGAGTGGGCTCAGCACCTCATATTCTCTTCATATACCTCTGGTCCCCATCACATCATGGTCCTTCCTAGCCTTTCAATCTTGACACAGGTGTAGATAGTCCATGGACACTCCGTTCCTGCACAGAACTACTTCAATGACGAATGAATAAAGGCAAGTTGTCTCCCTTATTCTGGCCAGAAGAGTCAGTTACATAATGGGAACTTAAACATTTTTTGGTGGAATAAACAAATCTTACTGATGAAACAAATGACACTCATGAAGAAGAAAGAACAGCTTCCAGAGGTGCAGACCTCAGGACCAAGCATTGCCAAGGGCCAAGGTGGGAGAAGATTAAGACAGGAAAGGAGCCACACACTTGCTAGATGGCTAGAAAGCACTCACGGGGCACCTGGGCACTACCAGCAACTGTCACCACCCCACCCCACCCCACCCCGCCCCCCTGCTGATGGGTAGTCCATAGTGCTTTCAGCTGCTTTGACTCTGCAGTAGATTCTGACTCCAGAGAATAATGAGGGACCTTCTGGCCCTGGTTTTTCCTCCCCCAGCTGGTCCCCACACAATGCTTTACCTTGTTTCTCTTACATGAGAGAACCCACAGCAGGAAGCTGGGCTCTGCTAGCTCCAACTTACCCCTGAAGGCCTGCAAAGCTGACTCTAATCAATTCCAGGAAAATCACGGCTTTGTTTCTTATGTTATTCATTCTGGATACCATCAGTCGCCTACGTACACGGAGAGTGCTGAGAAGAGGCTGTGATTCCATGTAGAAGGGGTACATCAGGATAACTAGGTCCATGGAGAATAAGCAAATCAGAAACTTCCCAACC